GCATTATTCACTCGACGACAAACAGTCTGCCTGTGGCAGAGAGCTGCAATGCTCAGTGATGAAGTCGCTACAATTGTCGTATGAAACAAGAAGTAAATATACTTTACTAACCATTTTGTACAACAGAATATTAAAAACATATCAAAGTTTTTAAAAAAGGTTTGACGTTAGGTCGTAGAATAACATTATAAGTTTATTTATCGATAGTATTAAATACAGTAAAGTTTAGTCCCAACCAAACTAAAGTAAAAAAAAAACTTCCACAGGTTACAGTGTTAATTTATCTCTCTATCGAACTTAGGCCTAACATAAGTTAAAGTTTTATAAAGTACGGCCTGGCCTATATACAAGTGGATTTACACATTTCATTGTCTACGATTACAATTCGTTTGTATTGTGCTAGAATTGTTATATTTAAAAAAGTACTGTTACGATAAAGATACTAGTTTGTCCGGAAATGTTTTGCGGGTCTCTGCTAGTATAAATAAAATGTATACTTTTTGTTATGAATTACTGCGTGATAACACAAAAGTAGCGTTGTGGATTTTCAGTCTCTTCAGTTATACACCAAGAACATGGTGTCAAACCAAGGTGCTTGCAACTGGTAATCACTGGATATGAACCAGGTGTTTTAACCTCAAACGTCCTGAATCCAACTAAGTACTCACTGTCCTCAGACAGTTTTGGCCATCTTAGTAACCCCTTAATAATAACAATAAAATAGTGGTCTACCTCCGCCATTTATTCAAAGTGATTATGGTATCGCCCACACTTAAGCATCATGAACACCCACCCTCCTCCCGTTTTTAGGAAATTACACGCGGGTTAAGTGTTGTTTGTGTGAAATACCTTGCAAATAAAAAAAAAAAACTAAAGTTGCAATCGAAGACAGTCGTCACGTGATGATAATGATATTGTGCCATCGTGTAGCATACTTGTCGCATTGAAAACTTTGACTAAGTAAAAAATGAGTATGGTGATTTTGAATTGATAAGCCGATATGCAATCTGGACTCCTCGGACAAAGACCTTTCTAACGATATGAGATTTGTAGAATTTGATCGAGAAATTTGCGAAAAAGGTTCTGGACAGACAAACACAAGCTTATTATTTATATAGATGCATGGAGAGTAACAGTGATAACGTTTTCACTTGAGTTGAAACAACCCATTAGATACAACGTTAAGTCCCAAGTGTTTGAATTAAACTCAAAGCACTTCCAATTTTCTATAAAATAATTCTAATAAATTATTTTTATTGATTTCCCAAAATCAAAACGATTGTTTGTTTGTTTGTTATTAACTTCGCGCAAAGCTACACGAGGGCTATCTGCGCTAGCAGTCCCTAATTTGGTAAGACTAGAGAGAGGGCAGCTAGTCATCACCACTCACTGCCAATTCTTGGGCTACTCTTTTACCAACGAATAGTGGGATTGGCCGTAACATTATAACGCCCTCACGGCTGAAAGGGCGAGCATGTTTGGTGGGACGGGGATTCGATCCCGCGACCCATAGATTGCGAATCGATCACCCTAACCACCTGACTATACCGGACCAAATGAAAACGAAAAACATAGCGGCCACAACACATGTACCCACTGTTTAGTTTTGTGCTAAGACAACTAACCTATATGAAAACTTCTAAAATGGTGTTATAATGTGTTATAAAATGGTGTTATATAATATTGTAGCATAATAATTCTTAACGTATTAATGTAATTCGAAACATAAGAGAGCAAACACTGTTGACCAAGTAGGTATTGTTTTATCAGAATTAATTAACGGTGTTTTGCGCTATTAAAATTAATTAAAGTTTTCATATAAGAAAAGAAGAGAAAATGAATCATTTACCTCATTACATAAGGACGATTGGATTTTTCTGTGTATATTTGTAAAGTTGGTTTTTTGTTTCACCTTTCTTTATGCCAATATGTTCAAAATAACAGTGCTTGCTACGATCAGTCTTCCGACTGTAATCAGTGTTCCACAAGGATGATTATGTTTTACCGAAGAAAAACGAGAATTCTCCTCTCCTCGTGTAAATTTAAATCAGTCTTCAAATCGATTGAATTACGTGAACACACGAAATAGTATTTGATTCTCAGTGAAACGCTCTTTGTTGTTGCTCACAATTTTTGTTAAAGGTGTTCGTTATATTGGTCTTTCCATCCTGCTGCTTTCTTTAGAAACTTGAACATGATGAACACACCATACAAGAGCCCAAAATAACCCTTGCGATAATACTAGAAAGAATGTTCAAGAGATTCCATATTCCATTTGTTAAATTTTATGTCCTATACTTACTTAACTCTTAACATTAGAAACCCAAGAATCAACGAAGTCAATTATTTTACTGTTATGAACATGAAACGACGAAACTAGCGCCAAGGGTGGATTTCAAGTATGTTTCACCAACCATACACATTAGATCACCTGGGAAACGCCTAGTTAATACACAATATGCCGCTCGGGATGGATATACTCGCTTTTAAGATGGATAAGAAACATCTGGTGATTCTAATTTTCGTTGCACCAACCAATGCTGTTGCTCCACTCTTAAATTACAAGGTGTGACGTCAGAGGGGGGATGTGACTCCGGACCAGTTCTACGTATATAACTTGGTGAGTTACAATAAATTTCACTTTCATTAATACTTTGCGACTTGAAATTCAGTTGCTCAAGAATTGTATGTCAATAATTTGTTCATTCCTAACTTATTTTGTTCAGTTTATATTCTACAACCCAAAACTTATAAAGAGAACAGTTTTAAAATGAAAATTTAAAAGCGCATGAAAGCAAGAAAAATGTTTTATTAAACCTGAAACCAAAACTGGATTTGGATAGAATAAAGTTGAGACGAACGACTACGTAATTGTTCAACGAAATGGAACCAGAAGATGTGTTGCTAGGCCGCCATGACAGGCGGCCTAACAACGCGTTTCCTAGCAACACCCCATCTGGTGACATTTTGTGGAACTACGACGTCTTCATATTTGGTGACATCATTGTCCCCGTCATTGCCCAAGTTCAACATACATGTAGCGCCCCCTAACGGTGCTAAGGTAAGTACTGCTCAAACTACTACTGTTAGTATCGACTCCTCTTATAATTATGAGATTTTTGAATTCATATATGTATATTATTGCCAATAAAACTTTTACGTGTCTTCAGTACCAGACCCAAAAAGAATGAAATTTAACTTCAGAACCACAGGTTTCTCATTTTTTGTAGGCTTAAGTTTGGCTAAATGTTTATATTTCACTAGTTATGGAAACAAGTAAACTATCATTTTGAGGTAAAAAATAAAAATAAAGATATAGCAGATATTGTATAAAAATAAATAATAACACGTTTCGAGTAAAATTAAACGTGTCGTTATTTCATATCATGTTGAACAATCATCTAGAAAACAGCAGAACTTTAGCTTTTATGGAATGAAAGTTAATTAAATCTGATTTTGAGCTCAGCAATAACTCTTTTTGAATTCAAACAAGATACGAAAATAACAGTCTCAGTAAAAATTCATAAAGTATGTTTCGATTTTGAAATGCATGACTGTTATCACCCGCGGTTAAAATTAATCACAAGAGAAGCGTGTGACTGAAAATAAAATGACCTGAATGTTCTCTGGAAGTAATAAACAATCGTTTTATATACATTTAATCTCTTTTGGATAACGCAGACAAAAATAGTAGGCAAGGTACCGAATTTCTGATTTATCTATAAGTTTGTATGTTTGTTTGCTTGTAATTAAGCACAAAGCTACACAATGGGCTATCTGTGCTCTGCCTACCACGGGTATCGAAACCAGGATTCTAGTGTTGTAAGCTCGCAGACATATCTCTGTGCCACTGGGGGCGCTAAACATTTGTATCTATCTAGTTAAATATATACATACTTATCATACATTAGCTCTATGTAATAACGGAATAAAACCAAAATGAGATTTCTAATATGTGTTATAATTCATGTTCATATTTTAATAACATAAAGATTATTTTTGGCTAGTTATATAAAACAAATATGAAGTTATATTGAACCAAAGAAGACCTTTATTAAAATATATACAATTTTGTATATTTACACATCTCGAGGGAAGTGTTCGAGAAATTAATGAATAAAGTGATTTCACGTTTACTAGCTACATTAAACATTCAATAGCAGGGTGTGCGACGCTCTGATCGTAACATTTAACCTGAGTAATTAAAAGAAACAAAGATGAATATCATGTAGCCGAAGAAAATTGTTTATGTCAACTGTATGTCACAATTAATTAGAAATATTACATACCTCCAGGAGCTGCTCTTGAGATTTGACTTCTATTTAACAATAAATTACTGATTCCATGGTTCTCCATCTCCTGAAAAGTTTCTGGAAATCACAATAAAATCAATGATAATATTCTTAAGTCGAGTTTTATTTTTGTATGGAATATAATCATTACTATAGTGAAATAAGAATGAATTTTAAACAAGCATCCAATTTGTAAACAGGGAATTGACACTTTCCCTTGAATCTGATACTTAGAGAGTCTATTCAAAGATATATTATATGCGTTAATCTATATAATCATGAGAAACGGTGACCTGTGCATATTAAACGTCACCCATTCAACCGGACGAAATGTGCTTTAATAGATCAACACCAAAACGAAAAAGTTAGCAGCAGAAACATCTTACTCATTCGACATTGGCTTATTGTACATACATAATATTCGAAAAATTATTCAATCAGGTTTAACAGATGAGTCCTATGTTGTCACTTGACGATTGACGAATAGGACTCATCTGTTCAGGTGACAGCACTGAACAGATGAGTCCTATTCGTCAAGTGACAACACTGAACAGATGTGTCCTATTCGTCAAGTACCAACACTGAACAGATGAGTCCTATTCGTCAAGTGACAACACTGAACAGATGTGTCCTATTCGTCAAGTACCAACACTGAACCCTAATGTTCATTGTAGATACAAAACATTAATAAAGCGAACTACACGTTGCTGTGGAAACTCTTTTACGGTACAGCATGAATTTCTAAAAAATTACCAGAAAGCACAGCATTCTGCGATAAAATCCTCAAGTTTTATACATTAAAGACGTTTAACTGAAAGCCATTTTTCAACTTATTAACTCGTTTAATTCCGTGTTTTTGACACCAAATTAATGGATGTCCGTAATTCATGTATTATTTAAAACGAAAAGTCATTTATATAAATCTTTCCTAACACAAAATCATATGAAATATATATGCTTACAGCATATTCTGTAAATTTTGTGTAATTTATATCTGAGGGGTATGAGTGCGCTTAGGCTAAATTTATTTATCTTATCAAACAAGCCTTTGTTCTCTTTTAAGGCTGAAATAGGTTAGACAGTTTATTTCTTAAAATGCTGTTGAATTGATACTATATTGTATATATTTTACAGCCCATATGGGTTGTGATTAAATACATGGG